ATCTGAATGTGCGCGACGTGCCGTTTCTCGCCGGATGCTGTCTTTCGTTGATAAGAGCTTTTCCTACCCCACGTCGCGCAAGGTATCATTTATGATACGTATCACGAGCTTGACGAGAATTTAGCATGCAACCCGGGAATATTTCCACGCTTGCCAGTCATCATCCTTGTCCAAGCTTATTTTTTAGTTTAAGCACGCTGTTTCATTGAATGCGACTTTTTATAGTCAGCAATTTGAAAAAGAAAGAGTTATTAATTTTTGCGCTAAAAATATTACACTTTAAAAAATCAAGCTTAAAAGATTTGGAGGGGTTTCTCGGATAATTAAATATATGTACATATCGTGGATAATTAAATATATAAAGAGAGATACCATATAAATATTTAAAAAATAAACAATTCTCTTTTGCTCGCTTTATATGTATCTTTGTTAAATAATTGATACCGGCATTGAGTATAATAATATTATTTTATGCTTAATTGTTTACTGGCTAAATTATTATTTCCAAACAGTGTATGGTGAATATCATATACGTAAATACATAAATCATAAAATTTTAAATTTATATAAAATGGAAGAAATAGCTTGCCTTTCAAAAATGATAGTATAACGTTTATTTCATATGGATTTGTTGTCACGCGCTCAGTGTTTGATCGATAACAGATCTCAGTTTCCTCAATTGTGCGGCAAAATCACGAAAGAGCCAGCTATTCATGTAGGGGCAATATCTGTCGGCGCAATTTCGCGGAGAAAATAAAGTTTACGCGGTCTCAAGTTTTCGCTCCCGCGTGACCCGCGAACAAGAAACTTATTCTAGAATTCGCTTCGAGGTTTCGCGAATGTGGCTACTGTGAAAACGTGATAGTATCGCGGATTACGGTTTTTTGGTTATCGCCAACTGGTGCGTGTGTGCCCTCTCGCGTATAAGGCGGATTATACGGGGAGCAATTTATGGCAATTGCCCCTCCTTATTTTTTTCTATCGAACTGTAACGATAGAGCGTTTGATTTACAATTATATATGAAATTTCTTGTATGATATTTGATTTGATCTACTATATATAGTAGTCTGTTATATTAATAAAATAATATAATGTTGCGTCTGTTTTTTTATTTTAGCATTATTTTGAATATAATAGTAGCAAACATTTCATTACATTTGTAAACACAATTCTCATTTTCAAATGTGTATAAAAACATTTAAAAAAATTAATTATCTCTGATGTAATTTATGTTTCAGTCGTCACGATACTTATTTTCAAACATATGTAATTTACTCTGGAACTGAAGTATGCAATATGTTTGCGCGAAGAAGTTGGCACGCTAAAGTATTATAACTAATGATGAATGCATTGCGATAAGTGTTCCATATTATTCCTTCGTGTCGACATTTTAGATTTTCTTTATCACGATTCCTCATAAAACGCTTTTTATCGCGTGAAATACAAATAATGCTGAATAAAATTCTTATATAATCTTTCTTTTCATAATTAGTTTAAATATTTAGAGATTTATTTTAAAATTTAAATATTGCAAAATTTAATATTTAACATTAATTTCATTATTTTCACGTATATAATAATAAAAACAAATATCAAATAAATTATGATAACAAACAATAAATAATACCGTAATGAGCATTTTTTTATGACAGAAATATATTAAATATATATAGAAAGTTTATCAGAATATAATGACTAAAAAGTTTTCACCAAATTAGGAAATTATTGATTGTTGCACTAATGAAACTTTGAGTTTGGTGAAATAGGATTTTCGTATCAAATGTGCAGAATCAGCTGAATAAAGGATAAGGTACAATTTATGAATATGCGAATGATAAATATAAACGGTTTATACGTCGTCGACACAAGCATTATGATTAAACGTGATGTACAGCTTACATAATTTACAGAAAAACGACAAAGTATTTTTCATAAAAAAAAATTATTTTACGATAAAATAATTATTTTTCGAAACAAAATATATAACATTTCGAAGTTTTAATTATTTTATTTTAACAGATATTCTCTCACATGCGCGTAACATCTTTTTTTTTGTTCTTACATATTTAATATCAAGTATTCGTATAATTATAACTAAAGTAATCAAAACAAAAGTAACGTTATAGATAGCGAGTTTTTTCATTCCAGAAACGATCTCTTTGACGTAAAATGAATCGATAGGAAAACAAACGCGAGAATCGCTCTTACCTGTCTTTTTTATCTGGCATAATAATGTTCCGATGCTATGCAAAATCGCGCGCGTATTAATGCCTTAGTACGCGACCGGGTGATTTATCGCGGTCGACGTTTATCGCCTTTGGCGGAATAATCTCGGGATGGTTTGAAAAAGCTCTAGATCTTCAGTTGCCGCTTTCATCGTGTAAATATTTCTGCTCGGTTAAACGTACACTCAGCATCAAGTATGCCTTAATATTCAGAGGGAATCAATCAGATTTGTAAAGATAGTTTTGGAAGGGATCACACATGTTTAAATACTAGACATATTACACTTATCTATAATAAAGATAAAAGCACACAATGTCAAGTAGCTGACAGCATTTGGATATGTTCCATCTCAAATTTAAGATTAATAAAAGATTCAAACTACATTTAAAATTTAATTATATATTTGATATACAATATCTTTGTTTTTAATTAACGCTATTTCTTTGCTTCTTTAAATAAATCATTTTACCTATTGAAACATGCTTTCCTGTACCAAAAGTGCAATTACTTTTGCCATTGAAAAGGATTTGGAACAGATAAAAAATCACATCTTGAATTTGAAAAATCTATTCTTGATAGTAATAATCATAATTAACTAATTCTTATTGCAATTTTATGTGTATAGCTCAATCTCTTTGACATTTTTTCCATTAATAATCTACTATTTCTCTAGAAAGCTATTACAACAAATATGATCTATTTAATTTAGAATGTAAAGCAACTTATATATTGTGTGTATTGGAAATTCTAATAATAGTATTATTATTTTAGGAATTAGCTAAAAAGATCTTACGCGTTTTGAGATGAATTGTTTGTTGTTTAAAATAATATTTTATGTATATAAATGTTGAGAGACATATGACAAGCGTAAGCGCAATGTATAGTCGAAGTGATTTACGCAAATGCAGCAATAATAGCAACATAATTATACACACATAATTAGATATACATAATATATAATTACATAGTGCTATGGTAATTGACAGTAAACACTAGCATCATGCGCATATGATGAATTTCTGCATTTATTTATATATGACGATAAATGGACATATGCATGTATTGTTGTTTATTATAGTTTAACGAAACGCTGCATCTAATATTAAGCGTCATTTAACACAAAATGACGCGGGTGCAGAAATGGTGTTTGATAAAGTGACAGTCAGCTCTGATTAAATCCCTGCATAATGCTTGAAAAGCATATCTTTTTGCTTAATTAATTTATAGTCAGTTATATGATTTAATTATTCTATGCTTATAAAGAACACGAAAATTCTAGAATGTTTCAAATTTTTAGCAAATGCGCATTGCACGAAATGCAATTTTCACATACGCATCTTTTACGTTCTGTTAAAGAATCTGTTCATTAGTTAGTCGGTGCAGGACAACGGTTCTCGATCCCGACAAGCAACGAGATAAAAATTGTCGCTTTACCAACGCCAAGCTTTAAGAATAACAGCCATGGATTTGAAAGACGTTTAACGTTGGACGAGCCTCATTAATCTTTTGTTCGCTGTCCTCTGGTGTATAAAAATCTGGCGACACGACGGCTGCATGAATAAAAATCCGGACTTTATCCTTACGCCTTTCTCTGCGTTCCCTTTTTCATTGCCTCGTTTTGCATAAAATGGCGTCGGGTTGTATTCTACTGTTTATAACTAGTTATTAAGCACCGTTCTTCCGAGCGGTTTAGGACGGTCAACAGACACTATCGTGGTCGTGGATGCTCCCACCGTTAAGCTGGCACCGCTGGTATCTCCATGAGAAACCATCTCTGTCGTAACTATTCCTCTCTCACCATTGTAGTGTTTTGCATCGTCCAGCCGATTAATGCTCAGCCACTAAAGCTTTAAAGCTGCCAGGCGAATATAAATCTTGTTACTGCAATTTTACTGTTATTTTCAGCGTTCCTCAAGATGAAAAGCCAGTATAGGATTTTACCAATCGGACAAATAGCAACAAAACAAGTACGTAGCCATTTAAATTTTTAGAATGTTTTAAAGCGACAATAAAATTTTGTGACTGTTATGATGAATAATAAATTTTACTATATCAGTAGTTGTAAACAATATGTTTTTCATGTTATGTCTTTTTAAATTAAATTATTAATTAATTTTTATTAATAACGAGTAAATTTCACATCGTAATTTACCACAATTGCAAAATTAGTTTCTTTTTTATATGTACAGATTTTTTTTGACAGTTTACAGTATGCGTGTGCTTTTATTTTAATGATTTATTTATGCAACCCAGAAATAAATTTTCTATTTTACATATCTCGATAGTTCATTAAAAATATAATTTATAGATCTATATTTAATTTGTACATTATATTATCTAATCTTGCAAAATTTTGTGTGTTGAATTCAGTATAGAATTCAAATAGAAAATTTGCCGAAAAAGTTACAAAGAAAAAAAAAATTTTTTTTTATTTTGCGGTTATTCATCATAATCACATATAACACTAAGAATATATTAATACATTCAAAACAAAAAATTAAAAAATTTATAGATGTATACATACAGATCCATCAGAAAAGAAAAACATAATTTTAATATTTTCTTTAATATTTTCTTTTATTAGTCAACAATAATATTTTAATAAAAAAAAAAAATTTTTTGTAACGGTAGAATTACACACATTGTATATATTCCGAGATTGTCCAGAAAGATATGATGTAACCGACAAGTATTTAATGCTAAGAAATTCCGTATACAACATTAACAACCAATAGGATACGTGCAAGTAGACCAATACATTTATAATATCTTGTACATGTCTCTCTTATGAGTCTTGCGTTCGTCATTGTGATAGTAGATTGTGTTGTTCGTGGAGAGAAAACGTAGAAATAAGCAAATCATGATTTGGTAAATTAAACAAGTTGATATTGAAAACATTTAATTTTTTTAAACAATTGAAAATAGCGCTTTAGTATATTATTATTTGCTGCATTGAATTATTCTTATATTTCTTTTTTGTAAGTTTCGGTGTTGATATTAATTATTATTAATTATTAGTACAATGAAAAAAAAATAGTTATACGTTATAAGTGATATTTTGTTATGATTTTATGTTATTTATTACATTAAATTTGATACATATATAAATCAAAATAAATAATAAAATCTTCTACGTGATAATAAAGTATAATAATGTTTCTAATTTATAAATAATATTAATTGCGAATTAAATTTTTTGTAATAAATGTTATAAGCTTTTTCATCAAATTAATTTAAATTATTGATTTCAGTAAAATTTCAGTAAAATAATTGTTATGATATAGTCGCACACCGTGCGACATTTAAAATTTTTGTTGATATGACTTTGCTTACAGGCAACAAATATAAATATATTGAGCTTTTCTTCTCGTTATCTCATCGCGTTTATATTATTATTAAATTTCAAATATTTCGACTGCAGAATTTTGTTAATTGTAACGGATACCCATAGCAATAGAAATTTATTACAAATTTACATCAAATATCGTGGATGACATAAACTCAAACCAAACAATATTCTATCTTCTTCATTATTGATCATATTTTATTATAGTTTTTTTTTCAGCAATATGATAATTATCTTTTTCAATACAGTTACGAATCGTTATAATATTTAATCTTTTTGTTACTTCGCAGAGATCTGAGCTATTAAAAATGTAATGTTTTTAATATTCAAAATGTTTACTTTATAGATTTCAGGCAATTGGTATAATATCGTGAAACAAATAACGATTGTTTGAATAAAGGAAACTGCGATTTTTCTTAGTTACATTTTTTCAAGAAAAGAGTTGAACACATTCTCACGATGCATTTTATGATACACACATTAAGAATTATTATTTTTGCAATTTTAATCTCAAGTAAGATAATTTATATCATAAAGCCATAGATAATTACACTCTAGTTCTGTAATTATATGTATTATATGTATATTACATATATGTATAATGTGAAAAGTGATGTTTATGTTTGTGTTGTTGTTCTGATTTTCTATTTCTTTTTCAACATTACAAAAAGTGATACTAAAATATATGAGTATAACTGGATATTATTTCCGTAACTTGTAAAATATAATAATATATTCGTATTTTTATTATAGAAATAGTAATTTGCTAATAATGTACTTTTACTTCTATTAAGTTGATTTATATATATACAATTTCTATAACAAAATTAATTTGTCAATACTATAAATTTTCCTTTTAAAATATTTTTCATGTTATAATAAATTTTTGTAGTTAACAATTAGATTAATTGATATTATCTTTTCAGATATTATAACAAAACAAAATGAGAATACTACATCGAGAAATAATACACATACGATAAAAGAATCTGATGACGATGAATATGTTGATATTAAGAATAAAGAATTGGATAATAATATTAAGAATAATGAATCTGATAAATCTAAAGATGTTAAGAATGTTGATATGGTTTCTAAATTGATTATATTATATATAACTATTATCTGCGTTTGCACGCTAGTGATAGTAATAAAAAATTGTCGATGGGAGAATATCAGGTATATCGATTTCTGCAATAATTGTGTATATAATTTTATATTCAATTAATTTATTCATATAAGTCGACTTATGTATTCAATTAAATAGTCAGTTGAAACTATGTGATGGCAAGTATTTAAAATATAAAATACAAAACAATATTAAAAATTAATTACTATTTTATCTTATTACTATTTAAGCTTATTACTTCTGTGCTAGTTACTTTAATTTTATTACTTACAAAATAAATAATAAAAATGATAATTGTAAAAGTAAATAATTTTAGAATTAAAAAAGAGTTACAGCACTAAAATGTGTGTTTGTTACTAACTTAATTAAAATTACAACTTTATTTCAAACAAAAAATTATTAGAATATATACAAGAAGGTCTTACCCAATTTATCATAAATGTTTTTATTATCAAAAATATTTTTTTAGTCGATGCAACAGACAGTGTCAATTGGGTATCAGAAGAAATTGTCTTATCGTTCGCGATTGTTGCCGTCGGCGCTTTAGGGATGATATCAAATTACTATTTTATCTTATTACTATTTAAGCTTATTACTTCTGTGCTAGTTACTTTAATTTTATTACTTACAAAATAAATAATAAAAATGATAATTGTAAAAGTAAATAATTTTAGAATTAAAAAAGAGTTACAGCACTAAAATGTGTGTTTGTTACTAACTTAATTAAAATTACAATTTTATTTCAAAGAAAAAATTATTAGAATATATGCAAGAAGGTCTTACTCACTTTATCATAAATGTTTTTATTATCAAAAATATTTTTTTAGTCAATGCAACGGACAGTGTCAATTGGGCATCAGAAGAAATTATCTTATCGTTCGCGATTGTTGCCGTCAGCGCTTTAGGGATGATATCAATACTGATGATCAACCCAGTTATCATGCAGAACATTTCTGTGAAGATTTTTGCCGTTGGTGCCTTGCTTTTGATTATTTTAATTTTCGTAGGTCTAATCCTAATCACGATCATCAACCAGAACGTGCAGCATGTGTACGACGTATAGAAGTAGCTGAAGCGTCAGTTAATCAGAAGAAATTATCTTATCGTTCGCGATTGTTGCCGTCAGCGCTTTAGGGATGATATCAATACTGATGATCAACCCAGTTATCATGCAGAACATTCCTGTGAAGAACGTGCACAATGTGCAGCATGTGTACAACGTATAGAAGTAGCTGAAGCGTCAGTTATATTTGATGGGAGTAATGTAAGTAAAACATAAGTAAAAAATAAAAAATAATAATATAAAATAATATAAAATAATATTATAAAATTATTTTCATCTTACATTGAACTTAAATATTTATATTCATCTGACTCTTCGATGCTCTCTAATTGATACAAACACACACACACACACACAAATAAATATACATATTTTTTAAATATTTTGATTAATTACATTTATATGTTAATATTATTACTAATTTACTTTTGCAGGTTTCAATTCAAGAGCATCATGCAAACTTTCGTAAGTCTAATCCTAATCCCGATCATCAACCAGAACGTGCAGAACGTGCAGAACGTGCACAATTTGCAGAACGTGCACAATGTGTAGAACGTGCACAAGTACATGCAGAAGCTGAACCGTCAATTATATGTGATTGGAGTAGTGTAAGTAAAACATAGGAAAAAATAAAAAATAATAATATAAAATAATATAAAATAATATTATAAACTTATTTTTATCTTACATTAAACTTAAATATTTATATTTATCTGAC